GGGCCGGTCTCAGGCTTGGATGCAGTTTTATGAATCATATAGCACACATAAAACTAAATAAGAATGCACAATCTAAAATTGTGTTAATCTACTTGTTGAGGAGGAGGCAGGTCCAACCGGCCAGTTGAAAGAGGTAAAAAAAAGTCCAGTTAAGTTCAGATGGATCAGCTGATCACCCGCCATGTCATCTCTGCACCTGGTGTCATCTGCGATGAAGTAGCAGCATCTACAAAAGCTGAAGCGAGCAGTATGTTCAATTAAAATAGCCTTGTTCTACATTTTTCCAAATTATTTTGCTCTAAAACATATTTTTGATCATCTGTATACTTTTAGAGCTGGTTTTATTTATTTTTTAGGCTATTCATTTTGTATGTTACTATCCATTTGGTGAAACAAGAAATCTTATCTTCCTTTCTTTGAAATATGTTTTTTAAATACAGTATCATGTCAAATTGATTTGCTTACAAAAGCAGTAAAAGCTTAATATTTTTTTTTCCCCCCCCCTCGGGTTAGGACCTGTAATTACAGTTAATCTGTTGATTTCAGGTCGAGCTCGAAAAAAAAAAAGATACAGGTTTGAGCCGGGCCGGGTCGGATATTTTTAGACCTGAATGCAACTCTAATCTGAAGACAACAGCTAAAAGAGCTCAGTCTCTATCCCATATCCATCTCATGGAACTAATATGTAAGTTACAGCAACATGAGAACATTGTATGACACTTTGTCCTACAGGCTATGTTGGATCAAAATTTCAGATAATTATTTTCTGAGATGATTACACCAATTTAATCATTTAAATAAGAGTGGGCCTGTTATGTCAGCCCCTCACAGCAGCACTTGACAGTTAGCTGTCAGCTGTAGTTTATTGTCTCCTCTTTTTTTTTTGTCAGTTTCTTTATTTGTATGTGTGATGTTATTTAGCTGCAGCTATAAAACAGTTTAGTATTTGTTTTGTTTTTATCAAGTCTTTGGATATACATGTGCCATTTTAGTTGTTTCTAACTTTTTATCCTAAATCCCCCAACCTATATATGTATTGAAAGCTGCAACATCCTTTTTTCTGTAAAACCTGATGCACTAGAGTGTGTGCATATGCTGGTGCAGTACAAACAATTCAGTTATTTGTAATGTGTTCATTAGAAACCCTGTTCAAAATATTTTGCTTTTCACACAGCAGTCACCTGGATCTTGCATACATTTATCCATATATGAGATGTCAAGATGACAGTCTATCATAGCTTTTATTTTTATTGTTATAAACTGAAAAAGTTTATACCGCGTACATAATGGTAATGGTATAAAGTTTATTCATTTTAAAAAAGTACAAAACAATTCCATAACAATATAAAAAAAGATACAAAAGATTTAAAATGAAAGGCAGCAGAAAGAAGAAAAAATCTTATTATATAATACATAATACTCAATGGGAGAGTTGCATTAAAAAAAATGTGTTTGTCATTATGACAGTTCTAGATATTTTCTCTGTGTTCATCTGGGGGGGGGGGGGGTCCTCAACAGTACTTTTACTCAATTCAGTTCAATTCAGTTTATTTATATAGCGCCAAATCACAACAAAGTTGTCTAAGGACACTTTACAGGAACATTCACATACATAAAAGTCAATTGGTAAAGTTCTCTCTCTAAGGAATCCAGCAGACAAGTTGAATCTTGGCTTTGTTGCAGTCTCCCATCCTGAGCAAGCACAGTGGCAACAGTGGAAAGGAAAACTCCCTTTTAAAAGAAAGAAATCTCCAGCAGAACCAGGCTCAGGAGCAAGCAGCCATCTGCTTTGACCGGCTGGTTTGAGAGGACAGGAAGGAGAGACAGATGAACATAGAAGTACTCCAAGTACTTTGTACAGTACTTTACTTCCTAAGTAGGCTGAGGAAGTCTGGCATGTCGACTAAGATCTTCAGTAACTTCTACAGCTATAGAAATAATGTATGTATGTATGCATGCATGCATGCTATGTATGTATGTATGCAAATAAAGATGTCTTGATTCTGAAAATCCTGTATTTCTCACTTCTGTACCTCTGGACTGAGGGTAGAAGTATGGATAGTTTGTCTTGAGGTGGATGGGGTCCTTGAGGACGGAGGTAGCCTTCCTGTGGACTCTGCAGTGGTAGATCCTCTGCAGAGAGGGCAGTGGAGTCCTGGTGATTTTTTTCAGCAGTCCACCACTCTGCAGGCGTTTGCAGTATAAATCATTATTGCCGCTGTACTTAAAAGTGATGCAGCTGTTTAAGATGCTCTCAACTACTTACAACAAATCAGAGAAGATAATGCTTAACAATGCTTTATCGACAAAACTGTTGCCCAACATCCAGTGACACAAACAGCAGACACTAGGTTTTACTACCTTTTAGATTAATGTGACCATTGTTTAATCTTTTTTATTGCTTAATTCCAACAAAACCATGCTTCATGTTCAAATTAATTTGTTGTTAAATTTGATTTTTCCTGTGAAACATCAAAGTCAGTGGAGACAATTGATTGGACCGATTCGATTCGATGATGAGGCGGAAGCTTCATTGATGCGGCTAGGTTAAATGAAAGCAGGAAGTGTTAGAGAAAAAAAAAATCCATTCTCATATTGGCAAAGACATGGTGTTTAAAGCCCAAATGGTATGGGACGTCAGTCAGCAAATACAGTGACCCAAAAAAATAAAATAAAATCCTTATTAAAATTACTCTCACTGCAGATCTGCCAAGTTGTCGAGAAAACAAACAAAAAAAAAGTGTCTGCATTGCATGGTTAGTCAGGGTAGTTGTTGCACACTGAATAAGGTCCAATCAGTCCAGAACATTGAGCATAAAGTGACCTGCTTTTGTATTTAACTTTTTTTCAGAGTGCTTGCGTTGTTGCACATGTATCTGTGTGCACATTATCACTTCCCATAAGTGCAGATATGTTAATCTCAGTTCAGTGGAAACATATTTCAACAGAGTCACTTTTACCAGCAAAGAGAGCACATCAAAATAGATGTTCACATACACACATGCACATACCATTTGCAGTACATACTCTATATTCATTAAATTTTCCTTTCCAGTGCATTATCAATCTGTTCAACCTTGAGGGTCATAGCTCCCTCTCTTCCTGACCACCGTATAGCCTATATTTTCCAACTACTGCAGAAAAAAGCACTGCAAAAGTTTCCAATACCCAGACTACTTACTGACAGTACATGCTTCAGGACTCAGTATGTATTGTGGATCTATTACATATGTTTTCCAGAAAAAGCTAATGGTGGGGGTGGGGGTGGGGGGGGGACCTATTAGAGGGATTACATGCGTTTGAACTGGAAAGTCGATGTATTTAGACAGTATATAAGTATTGTACTGCAAGCACAGCAAACCTGGACAGTAACAGTCAAAAAACAATACCTATTGTGTTACTTGTTTTTAGTGATTTGGCAATTTTACAGCCAATGTCACAGCATGAAATTCACCAATAAATTCCACAAACTGGGTTCTGTCCATTAGCTGTTTTAACTTCTAATAACTCCTCCTTTAAAACTGTTTATTGGAGATTTATACATATAAATCAATTTGTGTAACCTAAATGCTTATTTTATACATTTATTCTAATGCTAACTCAAAAAGAATGTCAATTACATGACATCTGTTTATATTTGGGCCACTGGCCATTTAGAACTTGCCTTTTAGTTATATATGTTTTTACAATACATATTTCATGAATACTTTAATTAGTTTTTAAATCTATAATTTTCTTTTAAACATTTGTATGTTTTAAGTAATTAAAAGGTTTGCCATTTAATTTCCTTCTTGATATTGTGATAGTACAAAGACTCGTGTCCTTCATCAACAGCCCTCACACTGCCACTTGTTTTGCCCCCATATAATACTTAACAATTGTTATTGTCACCCCACAAAGGCTTTTTTTTTTTTCTTTGACAAATGTGGTGCCAGGAGGAAACAAGTCATGCTTTCCAACATTATCAGCTCTGTTGCCATTAGGCATTGTTACAACTAAGAAATAATCAACCAAAAATAAATTTCATTACGCTTTGTATTATTATGATTATGATTATTATTATCATTTTATTATTATGCATATGATTATTATGATTGTTGTTGTTGTTACTACTACATTTATGTATTTAGATTAATCATTAACTTTTGGCAATTGTCAAAGTGGGTATGAAGTAGGTTCAAGGCTAGTACAAAACAAGCCAAGGTAAGTATAAACTGGGCCGTAGCAATCATGAAGACCCAAGGCTGCTTTTATTGCCCAAAAAAGTACATGTACTTATTGACTAAAACTGCAAAAGCAAGAAGTGGCAAAAGTATAAATTAAACAAGAGTGATTTAAAAGAAAAAAAGGCAAATTGTTGTCAGAATTAAACATAACTGCATTGCAGCTGGTTTACTGGAGAAGCTATCAACACACCATGACACGCAAGTTTTAGAAACCTATTCAGACAAAGGTCAAGAAAAGTTTGAGCAAACTCACCATAGTTTTCACCGCTGCGTGGGGCTAACAGAATTATGTGGTTGTATTTGGAAACTTTTTGTTTTACAATTGAAATGATAAAGAAGTAAAAATAAATGAACGAACTCACTCATTCACCACTGCAGAAGCCTGAGTTCATCACTAGGCTGCAGCGCTTCTGTTTTCTCTCTGTAAATTGATCCAACACAGTTGGCAGTGTTTCTGTGTGGGCTGTCGGTGAGGGATTGCTGTCTCTGTACTATCACCCTGCTAGTAGTTGGTGCCAGTGTTAAAGAAAATACATCCTGTTGTACAACTCTGAGAGATGCTAGAACAAAACATTAACCAAGAGTTATGTTGCCTGCAGAGATAAGGACTAGATTTTTAAGTCTCTGTCCAACAGAGGCAATCAGAATGCTCTTTCTCCAAACAGTGCTTAAAGCTGCAGAGAATGTCCCTACAATGCATTTGTCTTTTATTAGTTATGTGTCAGTTTTTTTCCAGCTAATAACCTATTTATTATTTTGTTTGTTTCTATTCAGCTCCAGTCATTCCTGCAAGTCACTGTTTTCCAAATCCGTATAGATGAGTGCCATAGTTCAGAGTGCAATGGTGCAGGTGGCTGCACCAACGTTTTAAATGTGCGAGACACACCTACAGTGGTGGATTGTGGAACTATGAGTCTAGTATCTGTGACGGTGGACTCCACAGCTGTGTGCTCGTGCCCAGGTAGAGAGCAGTCCCATCAGTCCTGCGCCACATATCCCAGAAATCCATGCTTCAATGGAGGCGTCTGTGTGGACACTCAACATGGCTACAGGTGAGTTTAAATGAATTCTCATTTCCAGTTTTACATGTGTGAGCATCCACAAAAAAGCTTATGGTTCATCTCAGTTTGGAATGTGTCTATTTTGCAAGGCCACTGTCACTGAACTATAAAACCTACAAAACCTATATTTGATGACAGTTTTCTGGCCCTTAATGTCAGTAAAACCAAGGAACTTTGGGAGATAGATGGGGAGCAGTCAGCACCAGACCTATATTTAGGCCTTCTGTTATAAAACAGCTGGAAGTAGAGCAGTTGACTGAATTCATATATCTTGGAACAATAATTGACAACAAGTTGAACTTTGAGCCCAACACTGTATTTACAAAAAAGCCAGACAGCGTCTCCACCTTCTGTATAAGCTAAGGAGCTTTAATGCAAGCAAAATCACTTTGCAGTTGGTGTACAGATCACTGGTTGAAAGTGTTGTTTGTTTTAATATTGTCTCATGATATGGGAACCTTTTAGCCAGAGACGGGAACAAGTTGTCCCATGTGGTCAAACAAGGTAGCAAAGTCATTGGTCATCAACAAATTAAACTTACAGACCTGTACAGTCAGGTTCTGAAAAAAAAAAAAAAAAAATCAGTCCAAGTTTACAATGACCCAACTCTTTCAGTGCAGCCATTATTCAGGTTGGTACTATCTGGCAGAAGACTGCTGGTTCCTTTAGCAAAGAAAAATGGGCATAACAAGTTATTTGTTCCCTCTGCGGTGAAAGTACTTAACAGGGTCCTATTTAAACACAGCCTTACATGATAAACCATTGTCTGCTGGGTTGTTTCCATATTTTTTATCTATTGTGTATCTTAGAATATTTTTAATTGGGTTATCAAAGCTTTTTAAAGTTTTTAGTGTCATGACATTTTTTAAACTTGTGTTGTTTTTTTTATTAATCAGATGAAAAACAAATCTCCATTTCATTGAATGTTATGGAAAATAAAATTATATTGACTTGAATTGAATTAAGACTTGGATTACAGCTAATCTGGAAAACTTCCTTCAGTGTAAAGACAATCATGGCACTGCCTCAGTTTTAGTACTCACCAAATGGGGTTTTCTCTGCCATTTTCTCTGTTTCAGAGATGTTCTCCTGTAACCTCACCACACTTTATACACTTACCCTAACACGGGTCTCTTGGACCATGTCGGGGTGCAGCTGCAAGTATCGTGTTTTGTTTACCTGACCTTGTTATGGCCATGATTGTAGCCAAGCCAAGTACCCAGTCTCATTTCAAAATCTCGCCAACCAAGCCGAATGGGTTCACATAAGCCTCCTAACAGATACCAAAATACTCTGCCCAAAGCCTCAATAGGCTGCCACCACAATTACAAACTACCATGGTCCATTGTGGACGCACTATGCTTTGGCCTGTGTAATAGAGAGCCCACTGCACTGTTAATGCACACTTACAGAACTTTCAAAAACTTTACAAAGATCATCCACATCTGGCAGCTTTACCAGTGTTGTCTTCCAGTTTTAAGGGAACCCACAAGGAAACAGAAGAAATGGAAAATAAGATGAAGCAGGTCCAGAGAGTGAACATAATCAATAGTTGAAGTGACTTTTCTGATCTTCTGACCTCAAAATGTTTGACGGTTCAAGTTTGGAATCCATTGATACAAGGATCGTTTACAATTTTATTTATTTACTTTTTTTATTGCAGTTTTTGTTTGACTGGGAATGTCTCATTGTGTTATTATCTGTTATTCCAGAGTCCTAATCAAGGGAGAGATCAAAAGATTTTGAATTTATTTATTTTTTTTATCTGAACAATTAACCAATCCTTTCCCCCTCTTATTCAAACGTTTATACATGTGACCAAAGCATCTCCTTCATGAGCCAGACAAACAATAACCCTAACAGCTCTCCATGGTGAGAAGAGTGAGAGTAATCTGCATGTGAATTTAGCAGCATACATGTAGCATCTCATGCTCTGTAAAGTTTGGAAAGCTACACTTTCCAGTTTTGAACTAAGAAATGAATGTAAAATAAGCATCTTCAACTTTAAAATACAAGTCAACTTCTTT